TGGTCATGGCCGGCATCTCTACGGCACTGCGGAAGCACCTGGGGCGTCCCTGGAAGGAGGCTTTACCGCCCTTGAGCCGCAAGTCGCAGTGGAAGGGCGATGTTCAAGAACTCGCTTTGGCAACGTGCAGATGTGCAGCATTCGTTTCCGACTATTTTTGACGCTGACAACTCGAAAACGCAGACATGGTTGTAACATTGAGACATGCGATGGCCTGCAGTGGCATAGAACAGTTTTGCCAAGGAAGCGATGCGGGATGTCGACCACAGCCAAGCCAAACTTCACCGACAGAACAGACTGAGTTGCAACCAACGGATACTCAATACCAACTCCCAAAATCTGCCAACCACCAACTGCCAACTACCAAACTACGACACAATTTGTGTGCATTCAGCTTGCATCCCATCTTGCTGGGTACGCCCCTTTGCTACACATTAGGGACTTTTTTTGCAAGACACACGGCCCACGAAATTAGTACAGAAGCACGAGAAGAATTAATGCATTCTTCATGCTATTTGGGTTTTCAGCCAGTCAGCTAGTCTTTGAGGATTCTCTTCTTTCAGCCTCGCCACACTGTTGGAGAAACGATGTAAGGTGCTTCGTCAAGAACCACCTCCCCAGCATGAACGGCACAGCTGGTGCAAGAAAATCCAGCACTCCGAACAGCAGATTCGGAGAACGAGGCTACTGCCGACCTCTACGACCACGACGACTTCCTCACGGAGTCACGGCATTCCGGAACAAGACCATAAGGATACCCAGCTAGCACCAAGCTTCCAAACAAGCAAGTGGCCCTCCACCTCTCACTCCTGCATACTCAGGCGTGGGGGCAAAAGGCCAGAAGTAGAAAGCAACCGCTGGACATCGGCGGAAAGTAAGTAGCACCGATCACAAAGTCAAGTAGAAAGCAAGAAGTTGACTACAGGCAAAGCACCAACACCGAAAATCATATGACAGTCGACCTGTGGAGCTATACGGAACTTACGCAACAACCGAAGTGACATCATAACCCACAACATGGGCGTTAAACATGTCCATGATCAAGCTGCCGCCTTCATTCGCGAGTTTGACTCACATCACGATCCGAGTTACACATCAGCTGCGTGAGTCATGAGCCAAGATACGCCTGGCACGTCTCTGAATATAGAGTGCAGAAAATACTGCTGCTGTTGTTTTGGCGTGTGTTACACATTCCACCAAAGACCCCCGTGAAACCGTGTACTGCATCGGCATTCATTAGATGCTGCTGGCTCTTTCCGGATAGTCAACGCCTTGAGCCAGGAATCGGTTCTCGAACCTGAATTCTACAGGCCTCAGCTGATTCGAAGATGAGCGTTGACTTCACGGATGATCCCAGCTCCCTATCTGCTCATGATCGCATTTTTTCCTTCCACGCAGTTCGTCCTTTCCAAAGGATCCAGTTCAAGCCGCCTTGCAACAGGGACATTCGCAATCAAAGCTCCGCGACGAATCATGTTGGGACATATGCAGGATGCCAGTAACACAGATCTCCGGCAAAGTCGTTTGGGAGCATGATAACCCGACACAGGCATTCTCGCCCGAAACTAACTCTCTGGTCACACATGTCACGGATACAACGCTGTCAACTGACTCACGTGGTCCGGCAAAATACCCCATGGACACAATCAACCACTGAGTCAACGTGCCGGCAGAAAGATTATTACATACACACACACACAGAGGCACAGACTAATCTCAGACAAACACAAACACATCCTCCCTCAGCGACTTGCCATCTGTGCATGTCGCACTAAGTTTGTGTTGTGTGTATTTCAAGGCTTTAGTTCTTCTCTCATACCGGTCATACAATCGCCCGGTCTAGAGTCTAGACATGCATAGGGGTCCTTGTTTTCGCCATCTACGGGGGCTTTACATAGACAATTGCATAAATGCTCCGTGTTGTCTGCTGCAACTTGCAGAAATTTGGACTCATCTCTCTCAGAGTGCTTCGGGTTCATCCCTGCTTTTCTCTCGCGATTCCATTCGGAATGTCGCCAAATCAAAAATGCGCAGTTCTAAAAGAGTAAGAGCTGCTTCTGCTGCAGCAGGGAAACGTGGCTGCTGCGCTGCGAGCCTGTTTTTTGGCAGCCTAACCTGCTTTGACAAAATACTTGGCTTAGTGCCAGTCTCTGTGAGCAGAATGAGCTTGCAGGCGCCTGAGCACCCATTCAGGGGATTATGGGATGGCTTCCTGCCAAGGAAAAAGACACCCACGAGGCCGCTCCCATCAAACCCCGGCTAGCGGTTTCGCCGCCAGGGTTCTTGTATTTGGGAGCTTCTTGTTCTACGTACCTTGCCCCCGATGACACAGCCCCGTGAACCTGGAGCGAATCTGACACCAGTGGCTGTTGGCAACCGCAATATAGACTCAACTAGACTTCTACGTGGCCTGGAGTTGGCAGAAGCTCGTCAACCGTTCCCACACTAGAGCCAAAGTCCTAAAGATGCAGTGCCCCATGGCGGGCACATCTAGCTGCACCTCTGCTTGCAAAGAGAGACAGGAGCTGAGGAAAAGAATCCTTCAGGAGCCTCTTCTTTTATTCCATGGATGTTGTGTCCAGCTCCTCGTATTTTCGGTTCCGCATTTTAATTGGGCCGGTCAGAGGCAACGCTACCTCAGCTGCAGAGCTGCCACTTCGGCATGACATGCGCCAGTCGCCGAACTCAAAGACAAACAGCATCGCCTGCCCAGTTGCCAGAAACGGTCTTCGATCCTCCCAATCCGCCGACAAAGATGCCCCATTTCCTTCAAGACCTCGCGAAAGGTCTCACAGCATGCGTTCCCTGCTGAAATGTCGCAAGCTGAAGGCGCCAACTGAACACGCCGAGATGCCAAGCCGGTCTGCCGCTGGACGATTCGCCGAATGTCCTGGGGCGATCTTGGCACAGGTAGGGAAACCCGAGACTGCTGGCCTGACACATCGCCTTAGTGGCCTTTTGGATTTTCAAGACAATCGTCGTGCAGGAGTGGTTCCACTCTAGCTGCTTTAGGCACTGTGCAAGGCATTGAAGGAAACAGCCCGCGAACTGAGCTGTGATGATGCAGCAAGACGTCGGAAGCCCATCCTCGCAAGCTGCGGGTATTTTGTCGCTAGGACACGCCCGGTGCGGGCATTTTTCCCTCCCACTTAGCAAGGACGAGCCCGCATTGCAGGGATGAGTGCGGGTATGGTGCACAAGCTTGCTTCGAGATCCGTGGACAATTCACAACAAGTCGTGTTGGATCGAATTGAATTCGTCCCGTGTGGCGCTGCTTGATCCTACACAGCCCAATCTGCTGGCTTCGGTTCAACTTCATCACATTGGATTCGACCTCCTCGTGTCGGATTCCGTCACATCTGCGTCCCGAGCAGAGGTGACCCCAGCAGAATATTCGCCGGCGTCGACTCTGCTGGCTGGAGCGTTCGCACAAAACACCGTCTGCAAACTCGTCTTACTGAGCACAGCTTGCTGCAGACAAGCATCACAACGAACGTCGATGATGTCCTTCGCGAGCTACTAGTGACTCTCTCTCTCTCTTCCTCTCCCTGCCCCTCTCTGAAGTCGCAATCTGCTCAACGATTCGGTCTGTAAAGTGAACAGGTATCGTGGCAGAGCCACAGGCACGGTCATGCAAAAACATGCTTCCTGAATGCATGTCAATCATGCATAGAACACCGAGAAGCCTGGTTGGAGATCTCTCGGCCACCACGAATCTTCAGAATCACTTCCAGGAGCTCTTCGCCTCCGACAGCCACTTTGAAAGCTCCAAAGCAGAAATCTTGTACGAGCAGAGCTCCACTCTGTTCTGCTTGCAGCCATGCAGCGTGTGACTTCTTGCTCTCGTCCGGCATCCTGGTCTTGTTCGAAGAGGTACTCCTGACGCTGCACGTCTCAGAGAACTGCTTGATTCCTAGGAAGCCGGTGTACTTTCAAACGCTCCTATCAAGAGGCATCGATTTGTGGATGAACACGTCGAGGATGCTGCGACTTGTAGTGAAACGTTCTTATAGGGCAAACGAGATCGCAAATATGCGAGAGTCCGAGAAGCCCTTGCTGCAAGTGATACAGGAACTTTCGCCTAAAAAAGCAAAATGAGCAAGGGCCAAGGCATAGATCCAAGGAAACCTCGTTAAACAAAGAGCCCGGTCCGTCAAGTCGATTACATCCTCAGGCTTGACCTGGACAAGCTCGTGCCAATTCTGCGCATGCCTTGCCCTGTCGCACTGAACTGTAATGACGCTGTCTCTGATGGTCTCTATACTCTGTACGGTGTGAAAACATGCAAGTTTATCCTGCGAGTTCGGAGCTTTCGCAGTGGAGCCATCGCGCCTGAAGTTCGGAGAGAACTTTCTGGGCCTTCTCATCTTCAACGACAGCGGCCAGTTCCTCGGGAAGTCCCAGGGGGCAGGAGGTGTGCGATAATGTCTGATGGACCACTATTTGAACATGCTGTCGAGCGGCCATCTTCGAGATATTTTCGTTGCCATCCTGTCCGAAACGCACAACTGAAGGCCGGGTTTTTCCACTCCGCTGCCGTCCACTGGATCGGTTGCTGAGCCTTGTCGAGCTCAGTCAGCATTGACCGGAGGTGTCCCTTCATGAAGTCGATCGCGAGACCCTCCTTGTCCGAAGGATGCCACTTCTAAAGATCGTTTATGCCATAACAGCCAAACTGAAATCGTGAGGGAAGGTGTTACAACAGTGGCACCCCGCCTCGTCTCCTCGTTTGACTTCAGACACAACCTGACAGCTCGCTCGGCAAACCCCACGGGCCCCACACCTGGAAAGTTGTGGAAAGCTGGTGACTGCCCAACTGCATTCAAGGGGCTTCGCACAGGATGCCAATCAGCATATTCATAACCTTTGATCAATCTGTAAATACCGCCCAGGTAGACATCATTAGAAATCCACGGAAGCAACTTGAAATTAAGCACCAAGTGCGGCTATGCAGCCGTTACGTTTGTCAGCAAGACGTACGCAAAGAAGATTAAGATCATTGCCCAGCCCAGCATCCAATGCTCCCTGAGGGCTTAGCATCTCCAAACGGAAGCTCACAGGTGCTCTGGCAGAGTACTTGGTCACGGCTGCTTCCTGCCTCTGTGAATCTTTGCATGAGCACTCTGCCACCGGACAACGAGCTATTACCGACTATTACCACTCCATCACACTCCGATCCGACTGCCTGATGGCGTCGGTGCCGAAATAAACTAGAATCTAGACTCTACACGCTTGATCGAGGGTCTTCGGGAATTCCCAGCACTCACCTTTGACGAAGCCAAAGCTTTGCCAAGGCACTCAGTCCTGTCCGGCAGCGTCCTAAGTTGTGAAGAAAGCCTATGCACGCACACACGCACATACACAAACATACACATTCACCAGCACGCACATGCGCAGAAACAAACAGAGCGCTGCTGAACAGTATTGTGGAATAAAGACACCAACAACAGCGGGTGTAACAAATTAGCTTCACAGAATCCAGAGACCACCTTCGCGAACCACAAAAGACTCCGAAGGAAAGACCGTGCTGGACCGTAATTTGCAGGGACTTTTACCTGCTGTGACGTACGTACGTGCGCATGTCTGTATGCATGTATATACGTATGTATGTATGCATGTATGTATGTAATTATATCTTTATTTGTTTAGCAGTCGTTTTCGACAACACATTCGAGGTTTTTGGACGACTAGGACAACAGACCCACTCATCACGAGTGAGCACGCTTCAGCTCACCTCAAGCACATTAATGTTTGTGTACATATACATATACATGTATGTACATTTACATACGCAGACGCACATACATACATAAATGCATGCATGCATGCACGTTCTCTCCGTTATCTATCTATCCATCTATCTAATCTAAACTAAGCTAACATCTAATCTGATCTAATGTAACTTTCTAACTATCTATCTATTTGTCTATCTGTGTGTGTGCGTGAATGTAGGAATTTCTGCCTGCATGCATGGATGGGGTGGCATGGAGTTGAAATCCTCGCGGCTTCTGTTGATCTGGATCTTGATACAGAACCATTGCGATTGCACGAAACCAAGCGCACATGATCCGCGGCCACAGAAGAAGCCAGGATTACAAAAGCCAAATCCAAAATAGCACCCACTCCATCCTGCACCTGCGGCTGGAAGCGCGGAGAGCCCAAGATCCACGCACATTTACATGAATGATGGCAGACCCCAAGCGACACAGGCGGAGGAAGAGCGGAAGCGGAAGCCAAAGGGGAAGGGGACGCCCTCAACCCGGGCCCAAACCCAAACCCACTGACAGCGTGGGAGGAGAACGTGGTTGGGTGCCTTTGGGACGAGAGGGCGCAATGCATCGTCTGACTGGTGGAAGCGAAGACAAATGCTCTCGTTGCTGGTCTGCAGCTGAGATGCCTCAGGTCGTTGACGATGTCTTTGGTTCCTGAAGACATGCAGGGAGAATTCCAGTGAGGTTTGAGTGGGCATCCTTTACTCATGAGCCAAGAAACCATCCATAAAGGTCCCATCCAGTATGAGCGTCCAAATGCCTCGACCAGCAATTTAGACAGCTCTGAGCTGGCCGCAAGTGATCTCAAGCTGAGGAGCAGAAACCCAAGGTGCCAAAGGCTTCCTCAGATCGGAGCTCCACCGATTTGTGACGAGTCAACGACGCTACCGCTACCTAATCTCAGGCACCAATCCCCTGCCGTGATTCGGCTATTCTGTCGTCGTTCTCAGCAACTGGCTTCAGGAACATGAGCAAGACAATTGCGAACCTTGGGAGGACTTCAGCCAAGATGAAGTACATGCCGCATTTCCTGCCGCATCTGTTACAGGAACCTCTCTCGGCCCTCCGAGAAACACATAGGTGATCAAACCGATCAGCAGCAAGGCAGAGGAGACAGCCTTAGTGTGCAGGAGTGAATATAATGGAGAGATGCCTCTGCAGTCGCGGATTGTGCACTGCAGGGGGCCTTCCAAGATCACAGAAAGGCTCTGGCTTGCAAACCAAACCAAGCAAGAGGGGCAGCATCCAAGAAAGAACCTCGTGAAACGTTCTTCGTCCGAGGTGCCCTCGAAGCCACGCGCATGCCGTTGATGAGGGTCAGCAGCTCCGGAGCTGATCGTATGAGACGCACCAAGCGGCTAAGGCGTAGCAGCCGAAGCAGTCGTAAAGGACCTGCAGTGCCAAGCAAAGGCAAAGTGCCCCTGCCAGATTCGAGTTCGGCCCCATTTTTAGATCCCCTGGGTGCGAGAGGCATGCGCTTACGGATCATTTAGTGTCGAACTTCGGAGGCAGACAGGAGGTACTCTGAACTCAGCCCGACTATCTGAGAAACCACAGGAGTGTGAGGTGAAGCTTTGCGTCATGATTGCTCACGGTATCGTGGGTTTCCGGGACTGCAGAACCTGCGACGGATCCATCAATCCGCCTTTGCCAATTTGCAAAGATTTGAGTGCTCGTTGTACTATTTCACTGAAACATATAAATAAATAGCATTGCATTGCGTGAGATTTTCCATCCAATGTCATGATCATGGCACTGGCCGGGTGCTGTTGGCTCCCCACGCCGGCTTTCTGCACTTTCAGTCTTTCGACTTCGTCCGCTTCACTCGCAACACAGCACCCCACACACAGGTGCAGTAGACACACTCTCCTTCACCCCTGTGATCGCGCTTCTAGCAGGCCGTTTTGGAAGTGGCCAGGCCTGTCGGCATGGACGTGCTCGCTCCCATGACGGCAATGATGATCGTCAACACCTTATAGCCAGTTCCAGATTGCGCCAACGGGTCCTACCCCGCTGGCAATGCCCTTCTCTTGCCAACTACTCTGCACACGCGGAGCAGGAATGAGGCTGTGGCCCATGTCTCCGCGATCATGAGCAACACCTTTCAAGCCACTGCCACTGCGTGTCTTCTAGACTGTCTCTGTTGCGCCAATGTTTTAGAACAGCCAATCGGCATACACCGATACACTAGTGTTGCAGATCCCGGACACCAGCCGCGATGTCTACTCCAAGACCGTGCGGCACGGGCTTTATACTGAAATGTTACAATAAAGTACCGTGAACACACTTGTGCAGACATTTCTTCAGCCAAGCTGCCAGCAATGTGTCGAAGACGAACCACTTGTCACGTAAACAGTTTCTCTTCAACGCGAACGCTGAAAATCCTCGGAAGTTCCGCAACGAAGGCGCACCGGATGCTCCGTGACTCCGTGCAACACCAAAAACATTCCAGGAGACACATCTGGGCCGCCGAGTGTCTAATGAGAAGCTCGAAAGTAAAAAAGGTACAAAATAGGTTGTCGCAGACCTCCAAAAGAAGCACCCAGCGCTCCCTCCATCTCTGAGACTAAGCGGGAAAGCTGCACCTGAAAGGGCCACACGGCGTTCTCATCCAGCATCGTCTCCGCTGGATTGAATTCGGCATCCACGCCTTAATGAACCGTGTTCTTTTTCCGAAACGAAAATCACCGGTTTGCCGCCGAAGCTGCCAATGTATACAGCGTTGATACCTCAGCACGACCAGTAATGATGCAAGACCTCACACCTTCAAGCTTAGTGTGTCCTATGCCGCTTCTGCCTTCCTCTCTGAAAGACGGCAAGACCGCCTCTGGATGCTCAGCTCCAAACTAATGACGAGCAGGGTAATCCGCTCAAATTTCTCGCTGCGGGCCTCAGCTGCAGGACCAGGACGCTTGCAGTTGTGAGACTACGTCCACGAGAGTTCCATAAGTGACACTGGTGATGTCCCTCCCGTTCCAGGTCGTAACGGTAGCTGCGGCCAGGCAGCAATGGCCTGAGAACAACCCGTCGTCTTGTAGAAGTTGGTGACGTTGTATCTAAGTGCTGCAGGTGTCCGTCCACGACATGAACAACTGCAGCATGACAGCAGACAACCAAGGATCGGGCAATTCTTCATCCAGCCGCGTCTCTTTGTCGTGAGGACCCTGCGGCGGTGTGCATGTTCCATGCGCTTGGTATCTCTTGCGGGTCCGGACAGCGAACTGTCACCGGTGTTTCTGAGCTGCAGACACCCATAAACCCATTTTTCATCCGGATCTCTTTCAGCGCTGGATCTTCCTCCTGCGCATGAATTTCAAACACCGGGCATGATCTTTATCGCAACTGCAGCTGCAGGCCTGCTCTTTCGCAGTCTTCCGGACACTTAATCGACGACCATGCTCTGTTGACTTGCCCGGCGGCTTCCCCCTGGGCAGGAGCTGTCCGAGCCTTTGGAATTTAGAACCCCTCCATTGGCTGCCAGTCACATCCTTATGCTTTGCCAGGTCTGCGTTGGAATCTCTTTTTAAGTCCCTATAATTACATCCATAAGGACATAAGGACACGAAGCCAAGTCAAAATCAAAAGAATCGACCAAGACCTCTAAGCGGGCGTTGAAAATGTTCCACAGCTAACAAGTTTTCATTACGTTTATCTGAAAATCTCAACCTTATGAACATGAATAAAAAGGGTGGCCATTTGCCGGCACGATTTTTGTAACGAAGGGCATTCCTTCCTCACATGTTTCGAGTCGGCATTCTCCCTAAAATTGTCAAACTTTCCAAGCTTTCCTGGCCAGTTTGCTTCGAAACACCTTGGGCATACTTTAGCTAATAGTCGTCCCGGTACAATGGGACCCTGTTGGTACAGATGCGAAGCGCGGCATTTGTTGACAGGAAAGTGAATCTTGTTCCTGAATTGTTCCTGGAATATGTCGACATGAACCCGAGCAAACGAGCTGATGACCTATTTTTGCTGCGCTCCCAAACAAGCACAGGACATGCACCAGTCGCGGCCAAGTCTCTTTTAACCGTTTATGTCCCGGCATTTTGCGTTGGAAATGAAACGTGCTTCCATCGAAAGTACGTTGGTCCTGCTATGTTGCGCAATCCCCGGCCGAGAATAGAAAACACAAAGAATAAACAACTCAGGAGAGCTGCCCTGACAATGAAACGAGCTTCGGAATGAAATCCGGTAAGGCTTTGCAAGGTCACGTGACTGGCCTAGTTCGGGCACTGCCAGGATCGAAAATGGCAGCTGTCGACATGTATGGAGGCCCTACCCTTTTCTCCCCACTCCAGCTCGCCCTAGCCCACCACCCAAACCCGACTTTTTGCGGTTTGGCTTGCGTCAAGAGCCTCCGACCGCCCAGCATCATGAGGTTGCTGCCAATCCAAACATGCAATGTGCTCGTTTGGATCCCAGGAGCCCTCCAAGACCTAGCATCATGAGCATTGGTTTGGGTTGTTGCCAACCCAACCCGCAATTTTGCTAGTTTGGGTCACATCAACCCCCAAATCCAGCATTGCAAGCATCAGTCCCAGAGCCAGAAGACCAAAACGATGTCGCTTCAGATCGTGCTGGCCCGGTGGCTCGCCGCCATCTTGGACGGTGCCGGGGACAAGTGCCTCCTGGGTATCGAAAGCTATACAATGCCCAAGGGCCGTTAGTTTCATCTCGCGGCTGGAACATGCTGCAACGTCCTGTGGGTCTCCAGTGTACCCGCTCCCATGGTCAGGCATGACACCCAGGAGTCCTCAGCTTCAAGTGTCACAGCCGTGGCGAACTAAAAATGCGGGTAAATGCCGGTGAGCAGCTGCTGCTGTCGGCTCTGACCGCCCAAGTGCCGGCGGTGCCGGACTCGGTCGGCATCTGCTTGGCCGTGCTGGTCGGCCGAGGTGGCAGCTTAGATCCTGAAAGTAGCAGACGAGTGCTTCAACTTCCACACACGTGCAGGTATGCTTCTGCATGCGCCAAACTTCTTTCTGGATGAACGAAGTGCCCTCACAGAGCGTGGCCCAAATGCTTCCGGAACCTCTTGAATTACCCCTGGCTGTCGGCACTCCTTCCGGCAGCATCTCTTCTGGAAGGTCATCTGCCGCTTCGCTGCCAAAAGAGCTTGGTGGCAAGTTGTCGGACGAGAAGTTCCGATCATGAACCTGGGCGCGAAAGTGCTTGGGACAAGCGAGACAGCCCTTCTCTAACGTACGCCTCGTCTGCTGCATGATGCCATTTCGGCCAAGACACGTCCGCGTATGGCCTCTGTTGACCCTTAGTGGACGCGCACAGTTGTTTAGCATGCCGGATAATTAAGAGCTAATGGAAGCTTCTGGCTTCGTCGAACACCATGGTAGTGCAGACACGCGCCCGAGAAACAAACAAAAAGACCCGAGAGAAAGAGAACAGATAGAATAGATAGGACAGAAGGTTAGAGAGATAGATAGATAGATGGATAGATAGATAGGTAGTGAAATAAACAAATAGGTAGATAGCTTGATTGATAGATACATGGACAGACAGGCAGGCAGACAGACAGATAGACAGAGACATGGAGAGATAGGCAGGCAGACAAATAGATAGATGGACAGGCAGATAAACAGATGAGATAGAAAAATCATCACAATAGACAGACAAACAAATTGAGATGGATCGGCAAGTAGGCAAGTACTAAGTAGGTAGGCAGCTAGCTAGCTAGCTAGCTAGCTAGCTACCTAGCTAACTAGGTAGTAGATAGGTGGCTAGATCGACGTGGCTAGTTACACACCTGAACACATTATGCGAGAGCACGATTACAGACAGCTGCACAGGAGAATCGCCAAACTAACTACCACGCAGGAGCGCAAGCTGCCAAGCAATCGAACACCCAAACACAACGTGATATTATAATGCAGCGCCGTGCCAATAAATTAGCAAAAAAAAGCAAGCAAACAAGCATAAACAGAGAATCCCAGCTTGGCAGACTGACAGTACAGCCATCCCAGCAAAGCAGCTCTGCGTGTGACATGCGTATCATGGCAGACATGTGGACAGGGTGTGCTCCCAATACCATAGACATCTTGAGTTGCATGTCCTTTTCATGCGGTCCAAGGTCGCTTCTTAGCTTGCCTAGTGGTGTACAGCGACAATAGGAGCAAGAGAGGCACACTGCCTAAGGCAGAAGCCACCTCAGCTTCAGTGAAGAACATCGAAGGAAGCAATAACTGGCAAGTGGTCGGACGGATGCCATGAGTTAGGCAACGTCTCCCAAGGATGTCCGTAAATCCTTTGCAGCTCTGCCTTGCTGAGCATTTCCTGCACACCCCGAAGTTTCAGCGACTTCGGTGTAAAGTAGATGTAATCAAAACGCAGTTCGCAGGGGCCGTCTTCGGGCTTTGCCAAGCCGTGGCCTAGGAGCTCACGCAGGTCGTGTTCAACCCCCCAGAACTTCCCTTCTGCCAGCTCGGCTGCATAAAGTGCATGGAAGTCCTCCCGGCTAAGGGCTCGCTGTCCGCGCTTCTCGAAAACTGCCTCCACGAAGCGATGCTCACTGCCTCGGCCCAGCTCCCGGTTGATTCTGGTCAGAAACTGCTCTGTCTCTCCAGCCGTCATCTCGTTGCCAGATCGACATGCATCGAAGGCCGCATCCAATGCCTTGCCCATTGACTCGGTAAGCGTTCCATCTGGATCCACCATTTTATCATCAATATTTTGGGCCAGTATCGTCGCAGGAGCACGCCCCGAAAATGCCACGTCGGCAGCATCTTGGAAGGTGGGGAGGCCGTGCTTGCGGATCTTTGAAGTAATCTGCTTGCCTTCTTGGCCCTTTTCTGTCGGATCGCCTGACTCCCGAAAGTCAGGGTTCACAATGCCATTCACGAGAAGCTCTCGGACGGCTGTGCTTCCCTGAGAGTTGAAGTCCCCACAAACGAGAACTGCAAACTCGCCTGGTGCTTTGCTCATCCTTTTCGCTTCCTTCTCAACAGTCTCTAGGGCTTCATGCACCTGCCGCAGTCTCCGGTCAGCGCTGGGTCCTGCACTGAGATGCACATTCACGACGAAGAGAAGCAGCGCTTGATTCTGCAGCCCCACGATGAGGGTGCGATCCTTGTGCTGAGCAACTACTTGTTTCCAGCTTGCTTTCCAGCAAGTGGCCGGCCTCATCCTGCCTTTTTTCTCATGCATGAGCACCGTATACCCCTGCTCACTGAGGAAGTGGAAGTCCTCATCGAAGGAGAGTTCAGAGACTTCTTGCAAACAAAGCACATCAGGCTGGACGCGTGCAATCTGCTGAGCCAACAAGGCCTGACGCGCAGGCCAAGAAGTGTGCGGGCCACGCGAGTCTTTGTAATACTTGTAAATCCACCAGCCATCCTTGCTGTTCGGGAGCAACACATTGTAGCTCATGCAGCTGAAGCCATCGAGACCTCCTCGGCCTTTCCCTTCAGCCGCTGGAGACGGAGCCGACGGAGCCCTCGGAGGTCTCGGCGGTGTCAGCAGGCATGGAGACGCCTTGTAGGTGGGCAAGCCACAGGCCACGAGGTGCTCCAAGCCCAGGCCCTGCATGTCCCCCTCGCTAGGAAGCTACGAGTTTCGATCGAAACCCGCAAGCCAAAGCGCAGAGCCGGTGTGCACGGATGCTTCAAGGTTACACCAGGATTCAAACACACCAAGGACTTAGGCCTGGGGCACGGGAGAAGCTTGGTTTTCGTATCTCCCAACACCAAGGAGATGCCGAGGTGCAGGAACCTTCAACAACTCGCGCATCTTTATCTCCTGCTTGTGAAACCTCAGACAGCAGTGCAGGGCGGTACCTCCGAATCGGCTTTTTCTGACGAGTGGCAGAGAAGAGAGGTCTTCGCGGAGCAGCTCATGCAGCTTCCGCAGGTCCTCTGCTTAAACTGCTTCTCGATCTGCCTGCTGTTGGCATCTTCCAAGGTCCCGAGAAGTGGGGGGGGGTGGCATGGCACAGCTGCGTAGCATGAATTGATGATGCTTGCAGACACGATCCAAACACAGACAATTCGGCAACTTCCAAAGGCTGCAACGCGTCCTGTGGCAGAGCATCGTCGGGTCCAAAGCGCTTCATAATTTTGTTCAGGTGAGACAACTCAGCTCCCTAGGGCCCTAGAATCGAACGCTGTGCCTCAACGCTTTGCTCATGCCCGGAGGCTTCGGCCAAACAAGCTTGTCAAACTTGCCCATGCATTTTGACTAGTTCTGCACCCATGCTGCGGCTGGATCCAACAACTGATGTTCTACCCAAATGGCGGCAGTATGGTCAACGTCGGAAAGAAAGTCGGAAAGAAACGTGCGAATCACGAAACCCTCATTCTGGCAAACGAGGGATCCCTGTCGCCAAGCAATGTGTAAGCACTTGAATGCCGAGCCTCCAGAAGAATCAGCTTGCCTGTGCAGGGCATATCATCTGTCACTACAAGGATACAAAATCCATGTGCTGCACTTGGACTAAGTCAAAGGATGACTGACCATCATGCTCCGGCAATGGCACACCGCAACTATGTCCTCATCCTGGAATTTGCAAACCAAGCATTTTGCCTTCACCGCCCTTCGCTTAACTTTGAGCTGGTTCTCGTGCACCAAGCTCTGGCGAAAAGAGTGTGAAGTAGGGATTGTTCTTGCTAACCTCCTCGACAATCGCACAGATGCACACTATAATTCCGAGAAGGAGTGCTATATATAAAATTATCAATACCCGAATGTAACCCCTGCTTCGTGTATGGTGAAGGTGACAGCGTGGATCTTTCTGTGGCCAGCGATTTTGCCACCCACGTTCTGTACAGACACACGCGCTCTGACGTGCTCTTTTCTCGAGGTTCGGCATGAGACACACTCCTGTGTCTCTGATGGGAAAGAAGGGAACAAAACTCGGTCGGGAGGCCAATTGAGCTTTGCTGTTGCTCTGCTCCAAACTTACGTGTAGCGGCACCGGCAATCTGCTCTCCGCCTGTCTCTTTTGCTGGCATCTTGCGGCCAGGGCTTTGGATGCTTGTCCTTCGGTCTCGAAAACTGATTTGAAGTTGCAGTCCATTGATTTCACTAGTCCCGTGTTTGCCATGCACTCCAAAGCCCCGTGGAGGGAGGCATTGCAATTGGCAACATCCTCAGTATGCGAGAGCTCTCGCATGATTAAACTGTCTCACACGGAGGGCCAGCCCAATGCAAGATCCTAGCTTACTCTCGTAAGCACACGGGAGCTTCCGCAAATTCGAGCTAATATACACCCTGCATAGCTGATTGTATGGAGCCATTGGGACAACCTCGATTCCGGAAACCCCCACTTTAAATAAAAAGCTGGAACATGGGTTTCTGCACCCTCTGCTCCAGCCGTGGCCTGTGGCCCGAACTTGCAACAGGTTCCTACTGCTGCAATGGCTGGACATGCTGGCCTCTTGAGAGCGTCACAGGATCTGCTCTGCAGACGAGCTCCTAAGTGGCATGTCGATATCCTGAAGCAATCCCTTCGCAACAACGAGCGCCACCAGACTCCGAGAGCGGAAGCCACTTAGAAGCTCAGAACTCTCAGCTCTCGAAATCCTCGCCGAGGCTCGGAGATGACCGCTGACTCCACTGCGGCGAAGGTGCCACAAGCCGGTCCTGAACTGAGCACTGCTTCTCAGATTGCGAAGCGGACACGGTGTTACACAAGAGGCCATTCAGTTGCAGGAAAGCCGCCTGACCCTCGAATACACTGGGATCCAGTTGGAATGCGTCCTCAAACCCTGCCAAGCATGGTGCATGTTGTGTTGTTACGAATTCAGGTGTTCCCTGCTGTCTTTGCAATGCTACTTGTGCGATGGGGAAATTGCTCGCGGCTATCATTGCAACCTCTCAGCCGATCTCCAGCGCCTGGGCACTGCAAGTACCAAAGTACCCGCTTGGCAGTGTCGGTCTGCGCATCTTCAGCCGTGCCTCGGAAAGGCTCGCAGGGGAGACGAGCATTCGTGCGCCCCTGGCAGTGCTGGCTCCCCTTTCACTCCAAGGTTCCACAAAGCTGTCCCGCGAAGGTGTGTGGGACACCCAGAAGCTGCAGATGCACAAGGGCTCTGTATCCTGCGGGCGTGGAAGATGCACCTGGCCGTACACTTCTGTACTGTACATCCCATCGCATCGCCAACGCAACTCATTGTCATTACTTCGTGACTTGTTGGCTGCTTGACACGTTCGGCGCGAGCTCGGCGAGCTCTCCGAGTTTGCGGGCCTGGCTCGGCGAGGTTTCTCTCGACTTCCAGGCTCCAAGCGGGTGTACTTTCGCAACTCTCGTAGCTCTGAAGGAACTGGCCTCAGGTTCGCAAGCACTCGCACGCTCCCGCACGCTCGGGCTCGGCCATGGCCCCTCAGTCCAGTCCGAGTAGCTCAATATGGCATCAGCTCTAAACTGGAAGGCTCGGCTTCCGTGTCCAGCTTCGAGGATTGGCTGACTGAGCAAATGTGAGCTCCACGCGCCGATAAAGAACTTCAGGCAAACGTCCGCCAACTGTCGCTGGGCATTCTTCTTGGAGCTGTCCCATGTGCCGATGGCGTGGTGCGGTATGCCATCGAGCAAGAACGCAACGCGAGCCCGGAAGCGAGACTTCCTTGTTTTCGTGAATTTGACATCGTAGCCCCACTGGAGAGCAGGCATGCCCTGAGGAATGCGGAAGCCTCGGCCATGCGATGGCAGACAACGCAACCTGTGCAAACACAGAGTTATCCGATTCTTTCAGAGTAGCTTGGGGATGTCTGTACGTACTCCTGCAACAACGTGAGGACACCCTTCTCTTCATCTTCGGCTGCAGAACGGGCATCTGACCCATGTGGCTTCACCTGGCTCTTGAGGCACTTCGTCAGGCATGCTTTTTTCCCGCTTCAGTCATGATTCAAAGGAAGACTTGAGAGCACTAAGTCTGTTCCCCGGGAGCCCGCCTGCCCCTTGAGACTTGGTCGCGGCAAGTCGGGCCGTGCCAAGGACAGGAGCAGGCAACCCTGTGCATAGGCCATCGTCACAGCCGTGGATCCAGCTGTGAGCCGACTGAGCCGACAGATTTTAGAGATCATGGTTCCTAGCTCCGCAAATAGCTAGTTCAGAACCTTGCACGAAGAACAGAAGCGACTGAAGCAACTGGATAAGTCAGCTGCCTCTTGCACGCTTGAGGTCATGTGCATTTCGCTTGCCTGAGGTCGCAGTACCACCTTGGAAAGGTTCGTGTGGAAGCGCTGCAGAAACGACACCTCAGCCGTCAAATGCCGTCAACAAAGTCTGGAGTCGAAGAGTGCTGAGTGCCTGCAGGCTGGATCTCAATGCAAATGCGCATGACAACCGGTCCCACCAGTTACGAAAACTGCAGTATGGCCAAGTTCTGCTTATGCGAGTCTAATTAGAGTTTAAGCGTTTAAGCCAAAGCCAGGAAAGGCTTGCACACGTGTTCTTTCGATTTTCAGATTCTGCATGTTGCTCTGTCAACGGCCTGCGCTGTCAGACGTGCTAACTCACGCTGTGTCTGAGGCAAATGGCATGTTCGCCTCAGCACTCGGCTGTGTCTTTGACCTCGCCCAAGACTTTCTCCCTGCCTGTGATCTCCTGGTCCAGCCTGGAAGCGGGCCAAATCATGATATCATCTCTAATAACTCTAGCAGAGCCCTTACGAGCAACCCAGGTCAAGATGTAAAGTCACAAGAATAAGAGGGCAACCCCTGAAGCATCGCAGAAGAATGGAAATGGGGAAGAAGCAAAAAGGTGAAATGACAACAACCCTGAAAGACCGTGAACACCCTGAAGGCACACACGCACATATCTAAGCCTAGTCCTGCCCGAATGGCCAAAACCCTCTCAACAAAAAACACCTCCTCAACCTGCCCTCCCACGATAGAAGCTGGAAGAAGTAGTCCGCGCTGACGTCTCCTGCGGGGAATGGAAGCTGCTGGAGTCGGCATCGTGGGGGTTCAGCCGCGGGGATGAAGTTGGGTCAAGCTGCACAGATCGCAACAGCATGAACTTCCGAACCCTTCGCAAAACCTCAACAAAAACACGCAGCATCAAAAGACGACAAGCGGGGGCTCCGGCCAATGTTACCCGCCCAACAGCTTGCAACATGTGCTTTTGCTTGTTCGGATGTAGATATGTCAGACCGACCCACAGCTTCCGATTTATCATAACAAATTCAGCACAATTGTGCAAGACGAAACCTTACGTAGTCCATCCGGCGTGGCAGAAATTCTGTACCCGGATGGGTCGACGTACGCCTTAACTCCGGCCGTGGCAGACAGATGCTTCCAAGTGGCCAATGCTTCGACGGCGACTTCGACAAGGGAAGCTTGTGACGATGGTGCAAAGAGTGACGTGAGACCGGAAGCCGCAGGGGAAAAAGGAGCTCATGAGGAGCCACTGCTGCGGCTCAGCGGCTTGGATGTTCAGGGCTGTTGTTGACGTCTGGTTCTTGCGAATGATGGAAGATAGGATGCAGGACGGGTCGCAATACCCGGGAGTGCCACCTCCGCGGCACTCCACCTCGACGAGGCCGCGCCGTAGAATTACAGATTTGCCAAAAGCTGCTAGTCTTCAGAGAATGTTGGTGGACGAATGATGTCAGTTTCATTTCAATGCAAATGCGCCAGCACATTTGCAATGCTGTGAAGCACGTCGCAGCGCGACTTCCACGTGAAGGCACCGTCACTGCCCATGCGCGAAGACAGGGTGCCACCAGTGCAGTAGCGTAAAGCGATGCAATTGTTAGCTCAGATAACCAACTCAACAATGCTGGAATGATGAGCCGCTCGGTGTCGGATTGCGGGAAGAACTGTCAGCTCATTCTCGAAGTCCTCCTTCCTCTCGAAAACTTTGTAGGCTATTCCGTCTAAGTGGGACACAGTTGCTTCACCTCCTTGTGGAATTCATTCTGCCTTGCATAATGTGTGCTGTAAATCCCAGGTGTTGACGGCAAGCCCAATAAATTGCTCGGCATGCTGATGACATGGGACCTTCTGCATACGTCCTCCTGAGCACCATGTCTCCGGAGGCATGCAAGCAGATCAGATCCTACTCCACATGCCCCAGGAAGTCAGCCGCAGTAGCGGCTTCTGGGAAGCAGATTCTTGAGTAGGGCAATGATTGACCACTCCTCTTGAAGCCAGCTGAAAACAGTGGCCACTGAACCAACACATGGCTGGGCAGAATTAGTCGTTCCGAATCGGAAGCTACAGGACAAAGTCACCATGCGGTTAGACAAATGGAGTTGGTACTTTACAGTTAACTTGCAGCCTTCTGGCGTGCTTGCGAACTGACCTGTGGTCCTCGAGCCGTAAATCATCCCGCCAAAAACATGGGCAGTAGCCAACAAAAAGCCATGAGTTGGCGAACGGCATGCGCCCTACTGCTGTGTTGAGCAGTATGGCCCAGTATGGCAGTCCTTGTCGTCGCTGTTGCCATCGCAGCGGTCGCAGCCGTCAAAGAGTGCGGCGTTGCCAAACAGAGAGAGGCACTTTCAACTCTATCCCTCTATGCTGCAATGTTTGCTTTCCTGCTCTACGCCAGCTCTCGTGCCAGCAAAGTTTCGGAATGATTGGTCTTCCTATTGTGGCCTTACTATTGGGCTAAGGGAGCAACAGTGGTGATAGTACGGAGACATGCGGACCGGTCATCTTTTCTTGCTGCTGGGGAATCAAGCGCCATGTGGGGCTTTTTTTTTCTGCTTCATCAAGGTCTGTCATTCTTGGGGGGGCCTACAGGAATGTCTAGTCTCCGCACTTTGCACAGTGCAGGCCCTTGGTACGATTTGGTCGCCTTTTCCGCTCTCCGTCCCCCTCCTGCCTTCTCGCGAGAGTAGCAAGATTCAAGGACCGGGGCTCGAACTCTGTTGTCTTGTCATCTCGGACAGCTCGCTTCTCTGGCCTCAGACATAGCTCACACTAATCCTTTCCAGAAGGCGTGACAAAATACACAGTAGTTCCACCTTCAAGGTTTCTATCCAGTCTGGCATTGAACCGGCTCTGGCAACGTTTTCGAAATTACTAGTAGTAGGAATGCAGATTACCGTGCTGGCTTATCGCAACCCATGACGGTCTGGGCGCCGATCTGCTGCGAGTCTCCACATGAAAAGACGGCGATTCCATCGTCTGTGATGTCCCGCCTCAAGTCAACTGCCCAACATGTGTCCAAGGCAAAGCCATTCAACATCTGGCCCATTTCTTGGCTCTCAGCCGAGCAGGCAAAAAGAACGTTAACAGGTCTGCAAGTAAAGCCTGGCACCAGTCCCTGCAGTATATAGCTGGTAGCGAATCGTGATGTCGTGATCTGCACTGCCTTCTGAGGAATGTGCTTTTGGATTGCGTTCACGATCGCGACTACAACACCGATGACTAGCACAGCACCTGCACACCGCGGCTCACATTTGGTGAAGATTGCTCCCGCATGAAACATGGCTGCAACAACTAAAGTGAACGGCTGTGAATTCGGCAGCATCCGTCACGACTCTGTCAACTCATTGCCGGGGCGATATGGCAGGCTGGCGCACTTGCTATGTTCTGCGCGGTGTTAATCTCAATGCCATTGCTCCTGCAATGGTTGAATCAGTCAGCAAGCTGAGAAAACGCTGCGACTGTGAAACTTTAACACCATGATTGATGCAGCACCTGTAGATGTGCAATAACAACGTTTTGGCCAACGTCCCTGCAGTTCAGACGTGTGTCCTTCTGAAGAAGGCCAGACACTGTGTAGTCGCTTCCTGAGAACAGGTCAACTGGCGGCTGCCTGCTGCGCAGTCCGAATGAAGTACCTCAATGAATGCAAGCTGAGCAGCATCTAATGTCACATACTTCGGGCTTGTCATGCCGCAGTTGACAATGTAGGGCCTGCGGGCGCACAAGGGTAATGGAGCATGTCAGACACTTGTCCAGTGCATGTTGGCAGCAACCCGATCGCTACCAAAACTTGCAGATTGCAGTCATGGTGTGTAAGAGCCTGTCGCTTCCGAAGAAGCTCCCATCACCCATCGGTGGAAGAACCAGGATGACGTAGCAAAAGCCTGCACTCAGGATCGATTGGGGCAGCAAAGCAAAGCGAAATCTCCTGCTTGCCCCGGATCGCCTGCGACGAGCGAGGCCATGTGTGCAACAGTGCCCACTGTATCCTTGCCAGAACCACAAACGCTCTGGACCTCGGCATTGCGGGTTCTTTTGCTGGTATGTGGCTTCGACAACTACATGAGAAGCATGTCCAGATCACCTCGCTATTCGCTCCCCGACATCTGGCACTGCACGCAGTCCGAGCATGTGGCAATGTCAATAATGATATGAAATGCGATGATTCCGATGCCTGGCAGGATAAGGCTCCCGCACGTGTCACAAGCCACAGAGCGCCGTTTTATGTCTGCAGATGGTCTTTGACGCAGGCCGGGCCCACGCATCCAAAAGAAAGCGCCGAACTCCGGAATCTTCAACTTCTGATCTAACCTCGGGTCTAAGGGACATGTCAAATCCGAATCGGTAAGAACTTTTCATCTCCAATGGGGTCTCGGGGATGCCCCTGGCCCGAGCCCCGGGCCCAGCACCCAGGAAGACCCCGTACAGCGCGATGAGCGCGCCGTCCACGCCGAAGCAAACTGAACTCGCCTCAGTCTGAGCGTCGAGCAACTCGACTAACCATGAAAAGCTGAGTGCAAGCGCGACACGCCCTGGACCAGGGCCCCGAAGTTCTTCATCGTGCCCACCCTGACGTGCTGTCACTGCCCCTATTGTCCCCAGGCCCCCTTAACTTCCCCTCTCTCTGCACCAGACAAGGCGAATTCCTGTGGCCGCGGCAACGCACCAAACGCAAGCACCGTGGCCATGATACCCACCACCTATGATTACTATGGCTTGAAGCGAACCGTCGACAAGGCGGTTGTAAGGCAGCGGCATTGTTCCAGCCAATCCCGACCTGTTTGGAAGAATATGTGCAAGCGGCTGCTGTAGTTACTGTAGTCCCCACTCCAGTCCAGTGCAGGAAGCCTGACACGAAATCCGTTTTTGGGCTTCCCGGCATCGGGATAACAGATCGTGGCCACGGGGCCGTCGCGGGTGCACTTGAGCGGTACTCCTGGACCTGAAAGTAGATGGAGACGTGCATACTCTGTACTCAGAACTCGCCTCAAGCTAAGCCGGACATGAATAGAGCTCCGAGCTGACTTCAAGATCTGGCACCCCTTCAAGATCCAGGGCATCCATCAGGTGGAACAAGTTCACGCACAGATGCTGGCGAGGGCTGGTGATGCGGGCGTTCGTTGAGGTTTGTGGGAATCGAGGGATTGTGGCATAGCTTTTGCCCACTGTCCTGTCTGGGACACTTCTTACCAGGGAGCTCAACATCGAATGTTCTCTTAATTTGCCGTTCTGCTCTCATGATCCCTGCATGCCTCGTGCAGTGAAGCCTGCGCAAAGTCATCCTGCTATATTCTGGGTAAGACTTATGTCGCGCTGATGGTAAACTGTTTTCCAGATTCCAGCTTTCGTCTAACCTGTTCGTGACGCTAAACTGTTGTGATCCGCTTGACGAACAAGAAACCCCTGTAGAAGCAGGTAAGTTTAGCTATTTTCGATGTGCTTGTAGAACATATGCAAGGCTCTGGAAAGCTGGTAGCAAGACCCCTTGCCTGAGCTTTGGTCAGACAGTGCCGACAGGGACTTCAGGCGAGAAGAATCCCCATGCAGTCGAAAGCGCTCGGGAAGCCAGAAAGAAAAACAGCGGCCTGCAAATCTGAGTGCAGCATGAAGTACGTGAAGAAGCGCCTGGGGTTGCGACACGAGGCCAGGGGCCAATACTCTTGAGATATTCCGACTTCCTTGGGCCTAAGGCCTGAGTCACTGGCCAGAACTCGCCCTTTTTCATGCACGGCGCATAGAAAGAGAAGAACCGGTCCAGGCGAAGGAAGGGTGCGAAGACCTGCAGAAGATACCTCGGAGAGCTGCTGGGGTAGCGAGCAGCGTCTCAAATCGACCCTAAAACCATGCGTGGCTAGCACGAGACTGGGGCTCCTGCCCGACGATGCAAAGAGCCGAAAATATGGTCAATGCCCTGTCGCCGTTGCACACCTCGGCCAATGAACATGTCTGCATCCAGAGTGGTGCCGCACGAAACCACTCGTCCTAGCAGCAGCAGCAGCAGCAGCAGCAGCAGCTGCTGCAGCTGCCCTCTGCACCAGAACGCATCACTTCTGGAACCCCGTATAGATACCTCGCCGTGTTGGCTAGAGATCATCCCTACCAGACTAGATCGTGCACCGGACCTGTGAACTGTTAGGTCGGGGATCAATCAAAACAGCAGATTTTTCTTCAGAACTTTCACCCTTTGCACCGGAAGTCGAATCTTGTGCATCCCGAACAACGGGGGCCTTCCCTGCTCTGCCACGGCCTCGAACACGCTCGGATCCCAACCCAACCCCGACAAACGTCAAATTGGAACCCTGCAGCCTCAGCCCCCAGACAGAACGGCCTCAGTTCCCGGCCTGCCAGAAAGAGTTGGGCCAATCCATGAAGGACCAAAGCAGCGGCAGCATCCAGAACATGGCTCTCTGACCTGCAGTCTAGGCTTGGCATCCTTTTCTGGGTCTCTTTTTTCCTTCTTTTCTGCGCGCTTGCTTGTCTGACTTGGCGAGGGGACCCAAAAGCTTGCAATATCGTGCGCTAAAGGGCTCTCTCTGTCTCTCTTTCACTGGGGAGCCGGCCGCTGTCCATGCCCATGGCCCTGCCTTCCCCGACAGGAGCACAAGTCCAGCACTTCTCTCCGTTCTTCGTCCTTGGTTGCAGGAACCCTTGAGCCAACATAGATGCAGCTCCGGCCGAAGAAAATTTCATGGCCAGCTGCCGCATGACGCGCTTGATGTCAGCAGGGTCTTCGCACTTGCACGACCTGAGCAACTTTGCCTCGAAGCCGGCAAGAGCAAGGCAGAAACTTGGGCTCAAGCCGCTTCAGAGAGCAACGACCTATCTGCGTAGGGCAGTAGGTGGAGTTGCCAGACTCTGCCACACCAGTGCTGGCTCGCTTCTTCTCACAGGCCCAGCCTCGCAAATCGTTTGTAATGGCACAAAGCACAGGAACATCAATTGACATTAATTTCTTGGTCTCGGGCACTTCGTGCCATCGCCTGTCATAAGCGTCTTCTTTGCCCATTCCATGTCCGGATCACGGGACCTCGAGTGTCGGCCACAGTGGGGGCATTAGCTGAGCTCAGGTGCCAACTCGTGGGAAATAACCCTGAGACGCTTAGTAGCGCACGTGGGGCACATGCAGGGCTCCGGTGTGCAAATGCCCACCTGCGGCAGCAGACTCCCAATCGGCACGAGGCGGGAGGTATCCCCAACAAAAAACCATGACCGTCTGCTTTGAAGCCGAGTAGCTTGTGTGGTACACATGGTCGGGTAGCACTTGCATATCTTGAGATCCATCCTCATCAAGGTGGCAGAAACCACACTCCTGCAAAACACTACCACTTGCTCAGACTGTTCTCATCCATCTATATAGTCTGAGCATGGCTGAGTTACATGTCCAGACATGAGACATGGGCGACCACCAAGCCACGATCTCCATCTTCCGGTGTCGGATGAATCTCCATTGGCACTCTCGGGCGCCGGCGGCATGGGATCACCGAACAGGGCAGCGGAGCAGTTCACGCTGCCGTCGACCACGAGGTCGCCGGACCAGGAAAAAAGGCCTCAATTTCTCAGTGACTCCTTCACACGCGTCTCATCTATGGTGCCGGATGGGGCTCAGACGTCCGTAACGCACTTTGCCAAAGCACTTGCAAAGGTCTCCCTCTTTGCCACAAAATCGGCCATCCTTTTCATCCTGGGTTGCGATTTGCCGGCGCGATGAATGTGGCTGATGTGAGGTGAGCCGAGGCCTTGACCAAAGACAAGAAGGCCTGTGTGGACGGGCTACTTGCTGAGCCACCTGCATGCAAAAGTGTTTGCTTCAAAGGCCTGTGTAATACTTCTCAGTATGGCAGGGAGGGCACAGGCCTGCAGCTGCCAAAGGATATTCCTGCTCCTCATCCAGCTCACTTCTTCCTTCCGGTCGCAACAGAAACAAAGCGAATTTGGAGAATGAGGAAAGACTCACCACGCAGCGATCCTGCAGCCAAACTACCAGGGCCCAACGACGGGCTGCAAGACATGTGTTTTGCCTAACCTTGCTCCGTTTCCGAGTCCCTCATCACCTTATTCATTAACCCCGACAACCGGATGGAATCTCCCGTCCCGCAGCCTTCCGTTTCGAGCTCAAGCTCTTCGGCAGCTTCCCTCGCTCGCCGTCTGTCTGCCCGGCTAGGGCTGTTGACAGCCACGGCAACGACCTGAGATCGAGTCTCCAACTCTATACCAAACTATTTGACAGATTTTGTTGATCGACGATGCCGTTTGTCACACCTAACCGGACCAGCCCGAGACTCGAAAGATAATTGCAGTCGGTCCACAAGCAGGGCCAAAAAGGCATCGGCTATTCGCAAGCTCATGGATTTACAATAGCTCTTTACTCCAAGCTGCATGCAAAGATTGCAGCTACGACACGCCTATACATAGGGAATGCAAGCCACTAATTTCTGGAACGGCAACAGATGCACGACAGATGCTCAAGTCTGGAGTGACTTGTCTTAAACATGCTTTCACAGCAGAAGCACGTCTTGCCTCGTACTCTCCATGACTCTGCACCTTGTTGAGGCCCGGTCAGCTGCGCAGCATGCCGCTACCAAAAGGCGTCCTGCAGATTCAAACAACGCTTCCTTCAAACATGGCTTTCGTTTTGCAGGTAACTTGTTTCCAAGTGCACGAGATGCAAAACAACCTGTCGTTACGTTTATAAATTCGGCAGATTCCCAGACCTTGCGATACTCTGGGCATAGCGACGTGGAGACCCCTGACAGCCGGGTTCGTGCCCGTCTCGCCTGCTGCGCCGCTGTGGCGCCGCACTTGTCGGGCGCGCGCACCTCCCAAGCACGCCAGACACCGCGGGAAAACGAGCCAGAAAGAGAGGCCGAGGGAGAGATGGGCGAGGCATCAACAAACATCATTCTCAAAGATCAGAAAACCGGTTTCAAAAAGATCCAAAAACTATTTCGACTCAAACACTCGCTCAAAGCAGGCATGGCAGGTTCGGTCTGAGCTTGCTGCTTGTACATGTGGCACACCGAGCCAGGCAGTTAGAACAAAAGGAGAATAAATAACACAAATCAGAAAGTAAGCGCTCACAGTATCAGCCGGTGTGACGACATGTACACAACAAGGCCTAAGAGGGCCTAGCGCTGTTCAGCAGCCTCACGCCGCTGTTTCAAGATGTTCCATTTTGTCAAGCAAGTTCCTCTCAATTTGCGGAATAAGGCAAGATGGGCTGTCGTCATCTTGGGAACATGCCTCCGTGCTTTTTTGCCGCACCTTTAAGGTACTCCGACAGGAGAAGACCCAGTGTAGGCCAGTAACAAGCTGGCTACATCTTACTGTCAGGCATGTCTGAGCAGACACAGAAAGGCTTCAGGAATCTCTGTACAGTATCCCTGCTCTAAAGGAAGCAGTTGGCCACACATGCTACAGCTTGGAGCGCTCGGCATGTCGTGGAAAATTGGATTTAATTACTGTGCACTTGCAATGCCCAGGCACACAGCGCGAGCCTCACTGCGCAAACACACCGGGCTGTCTTCGCCACATTTCGGTGTCGAGCTAAAGATGATATCAAGGGCATCAAAGATGCAGCCCAGGAGATGGCTGATGATCTGTTTGAGGACAGATCATCAGCCATCTCCTGGGCTGCATCTTTGATGCCCCTGATATCATTAAAGACGCACTCCCATGTGTTCTGGGATGTTGGTAGGACTCACGAAGCGTGAAATCGATCCCCCTCCCACAACCTGATAGCCATCAGGACATTTGACAGAAGCATTGTCACGACCTTCCCTCCTGACCATGATGACCTTCTCATTCCCCTCAAGCTCCAGACACCACCCACCTACCCGTGTCACGTGCCATGGCTCGTCTCTCCACTCGCCAATTCCGAGGCATCGGAAAGAAGTTTGATCTTCAGGAAACGCAGCTATGATCTCGACGTCATCGTATGGATAGTATTTAATGCAAGCACCACCTATCAACGTTCCCACCTCGCACCTCGCAACTATTCCGTCGGGCTGCGTTGTGAAGCCCGTCGCCCAAGCCTGACGAACCTTCCTAGGCCCACATATCGTCTTGGGAAGGGCCAGCAAGTCCAAATAATCAAACCATCGCACCTCGCATTCCAGGCTCGTGTCCGATATGATTTCTGAGTGCAAGTAGGGACGCGGTCTAGAGCAGCCCTCCTTGCATATGCAACCGCCGCCGATCGCGAAAGGCACGGGGCAGTCGCCGTCGGTGACCGACACGTTTTCTGGGAGCACAGTCTCCTCATCCACGGTCTGCTTGAAGTCTTGCACTCGCTGCGTCTCGGCTGTGGAGAGCAATGGGCGCAAGTCAGGGATGTCGAAAAAAAATCCGGCAGGAATGGTAAAGTTCTCAGGCCATTTAGGTGGCTCTGCAAACCACTCCAGCTCGCTGGGCTCGCCTGGAGCAGCCAAATCAACCCCTGGCCGCACATTAACCCCGTAGCTGATGCTCGGCTCGATGCTCGGGGATCCCTCGGAGTCGGAGCCGTTGGACGGGAGGTCAACATCAGAATCAGGACACTTGTAGAGGCAGTCCTTGTAGAGGACGTCGCCGCATTTAGGGGGGTTTGGGCAGCATTTAACACATTTCCACACTGCATCGGCTCTGAGCCAGATACCGCAAGGAACTGGGAAAAGATGTCTTGCGCACCAATGCACGACCTTACCCGGCGGTCGAAGAAATCGACCTCTGCGTCGGCGCTCATATGGCTTCATGGTGGTGGTTGTCGTAGTTGGCTTCGGTCCGGGTTTTCGGAAGATGGGGCGGAGCTCCAAAAAGAATTGCAAGCGCAGCTCCAGGGTCGGCGGGGCATCCGGGCTTTCACCTGGGAGAACCTTCAGCCTTGGCTGGACACGGATGCGGAAGGCCAAGCTGTCAACAATGAGATCCTTGGCGTCCGCGGATCGCGGCCAGCCTGCGTCGTCAAAGCCCGGGCTTTTCAATGCAGCCAGGTTCCATGGCGGCGTGATGTAGAGACCGCTGAAGCCTTGCTCCATCCAGAAATCGTTGCAACCAGTGGGAACGGGCAACGGCAGAAGAAGCTTGATGACTTGCGAGGCCCAGAGCGCCATGGGCAAAAGCGTCACGCCCAGATAAGAGGAGGTAGACAGGTAGTCGTTGAACTGATAACTCTGCGACATGAACGTATAATCGATGCCAACGTATTCCTTGTGAGGACCTCCCTTCTCCCAACTCACCATAAGGTCCCCCCAACCGATACCAGGGTCTTTTAAACTGCCCAAGACGAAAGTCCAGTCACCTCCGTTGATAGAGAAGGAATTCTCCTGTGCATCGCACTGCATCTTCTCCGCAAACTGTTTCGAAGAGATGGGCTCACCAGAGGCTTTCGCTGTCTGCAACAAGGCAATGTCACCTGCATCTGGGCGACTGACGTTGCAGCTCTCGCCGCACGGGTCGGGAATCACCTCTCTGCTGACCGCCAACTGGCACAGCGCAAGCCAACGAACCATCCGGGTTGTCACCATGCTGGTTAAACTACGACGCGCGTGGCCTCCGAGGTCTCTTGCTACGTGCTTGAGCCAAAATTCACTTGAGCCAACATGGCAAAAACTATTTAAGGGATCCAAACAAAAATATCCGTCAGTTTGAAAGCAAAAGTGTGTGTTGTGTGTGTGTTGTGTGTGTGTTGTGTGTGTGTGTTGTGTGTGTGTGTTGTGTGTGTGTGTTGTGTGTGTGTTGTGTGTTGTGTGTGTGTTGTGTGTGTGTGTGTTGTGTGTGTGTGTTGTGTGTGTGTGTGTTGTGTGTGTGTGTGTTTCTTTTGGCTGGAATATATTTCTTAAACACACCCCCTCATTTGGCGATTCCGGTTCATCATATATCGTAAACACGCTGGCGGTTCCGGGTCATCATATATCTCAAACATGCCCCGTCACTTGGCGATGCCGATTCATCTTTTATCTTAAACCCGGCCCCTCATTTGGCGATTCCGGTTCATCGTATATCTTACACACGCCCCCTGATCTGGCAAGGCCAGTTCATCATCATGATGATCATCATCATCATCATCATAATCACATATATATATATTTATATATATAACACGCTCCCTCATATATCTTAAACACGCCCCCTCATCACATGCTTGACATGCTTCTGGAATCCTGCAAGTGCAATTTTGTCAATCCAGCGGAACCTGCTAGTACTCCGGGGGAGAATCCTTCTGGCCGTTCTTTTTGCATCAAGCTATTGTTGCTTCCTCCCACAAACACACCTACCAATGAAGGCCACGCACAAATCAAGAAACAAAGAATGCTTCATTCTTGTTTGTTCGTTCTTTCTTTCTGCTTTTTTCTGTCTGCGTTGAATTGCTTCCTCTTTCCGTCTTTCTTTCTTTATTTCTTTGTTTACGTGTTTCTTTCGATTTGTTTTCTTTGCTTCTTTACTTGATTACCTAGGTTTTTGTTAGTTTGTTCTGCCTGTCCTACGTTATTTCATTAATTATTTAATTTATGCCTTTCTTTGGCTCTGCGCTGAATTGCTGTACTTTTTTCTGTGTTTCTGTTTGTTGTTCTTTCTTTCTTTGCTGCTTTCGTTCTCTGTTTCTTTCCGTCCTCCTTTCTAGATTTTGCTTGGAGTGGATCCCTGGGGCAGGTGTCTAAGCTTTGTGTTGGTCCGTCGTCTTTTGCCCTGTATTCTGCTTATGAAATAGGAATGGTTTTTAGTCTGATCCCGAAAATGGTTGTGTTGATCCCTGAAATAGATTTTTCTGGACCCCTTAATTGGTAGGTTTGTAACCCCTATCCCGTGAGAGATCTGTACGGGCAGGCACTTCTTGTCGCATCGGAGCTGCTGGACCGGTCCTCCTCTAGTCCACGTGTGCTGCGTTGGATAGAGGTAGTTAAAACAGTTAGGGCGGCATTGCCGTGGAAAACACTACTTTTCACGGAGACTTAAAGTCTTCGACATGTTTCGACATCAGAGGTCCAGAAGAAGCTTTGAGAAGACGAACTCCAGTCGAGAACCTCTGTCCTCTGAGACTCGCATGCTCTGAAGAACGACACGAGGTGAAGCTCGCACAACATCTCTTCAGATGAGATGCAGCACTGCAAACAACGAGCTTGAGGCGTGTGCGTGTGCAAATCAAGCGGTTCAGGTGCAGGCCTTGTTGTCTGCTTCCACGCTGATCGTGTAGAGCCTTCATCTGAGAGCTCTTCTGTGGGCAACCTTCTTCAGACGACAGGAAGGCACACGCACAGCGGCTTGTGATCGAGCCTCAGGCCTTGCAACAGCAGTCCTTTCTGTGAGCCTTAAGCCCTTGTTTCGTTGCGGAGTGCCTCACAGCACCACGCCAGTGCAGCCGGCTAAGAAGGCCGACGTCGCACAAGCGGCCGGGCCCCAACCCACAAAAAAAATGCTGGAGCCAAGTGCAAAGAGCAAGTACTTTTGCATGGTCAACCGGAGGCCTCATGCAGAATGTTTTTATGGTCTCTGGATGTATTTGATGTGACTGTGTATGTGCATATATATATATATACACACATATATATACACACACACACACACACACGTAATGAGTGCGTATGCATTATTTATATTATATATACACATATAGATACGAGATATCCGCTGGCCCCTGTGGGGGCTGCTCTCAGAAGTTGTGTTACTTGCTCGGTTTCCGGATTTGCTCACTTTACGCGGGATTTCGCTGCACGAGTTTGAAGCGCGTACTTTCGCTGCCCACGTCTCGTCTCAGTGTTTCGCCTTGGCTTGTTCATGCACGCCCAACCCCTCCCAACCCCCCAGCGCCCTCAGTGGACCTTTTCCTTTTTGTGGTGCTCCGAGTAATGACCATGCCTTCAGAGTGGTGATTTAGTCATGTCACTCGAGCCCAAGGCAAGCCAAACCCTCATGCCCCTCCGACCCCCGGCGCCCACTGCGCACACCACTGGGCCGTGCCTTCAGAGTAGTGATTTGTCGTCGTCAGCCCTCGCCCCCTGCAGGAGGCTCAGGCTTTCCAACTCAAGACCGGCCGACAAGTTGGTAGTTCAGGTTTGCCTGCGCGCAACTCGGCACTTTGGGAATTTAAGACCTGAACATTGAACGTTTTCGGTGCCTACTTTCGGAACATCTGCACCCAAGCTGCCACTGCCACAAGCCACAAGAAGTAAATTATGTCGTGCATTGAACTGGAATTCATTAAACTTTTTCCTACGCACACAACGAAATGACTCGCTGTAAAGATCGCGCTGTAGCTTGCTAGCTTTGCTTTAGCAAAGGGCGCGACCACCAGCGCCGACGACCCCACCCGTTTTCGAGGTGCGTAATTTTGGGATAGCCATGGGCAGGGGGAGAGCGTGGCCTTGCTCCAGGCTAGGCTTCTACCTTTGCTGCCAACCCGTGGGCGCAGCCCCTAGAATTATATATACATATATATATATATATGTATATATGTGTGTATATATAGATGTATATATATATAT